CCCCAAAACCCCAAAACCCCAAAACCCCTTCATTCAATTTAAATTGGAATATGTTAAATAAAGTAAAGTATAAATATTCCTCACAATTTTTGCATTTCGTATCTTATTTTTTATAAGAATACCAATGCTGCCAATCAGTCATAGGTATTTATGAAGCTTAATCTGTGAACTTATTTACAAATTCAGTTCACTTTAAGTTTATAGAATCAGACTATCTGCTATTCTCTATTGTAAAATCAAAACTTAATCTTCTTAATCAACAAAAGCATTCTATGCATCAACTTAATTTCGATTATTTCTTTGTTAGTTTTAGGTAAATATGTCATTTTCAATTTGTTTCTCGATATATCTCAAGACCATATTTATGGTTTCATCACTAGGTGGGACAAAGTTCTTTGGCGTTTTATTGTAGCCATCCACAAGAGCATTGAATGTGTCAGTGCTGAGTGATGAAATGTTCTGTTATGAGTTGCTTAAAAAGTCTAGATGGAGTACATGATTGAATTAACCCTTTAGAGAATCCTTATTCTCGAAGTCTATGTTGTCGTATAGCTTGGTAAATTTTAGCAATACTTCCACGACCTTAGGTTTATTTTCGCTAGAAAGGCAACTATGACTATGTCTTCCGAATATTCTCTTAATGCAGTTATAAATTAGCTAAGGAGTGATTGGGTTCTAGCATTTGTAGAGTTCGTTCAGTTTCGGAACTGGCACTTGATTAGGCAAAATAAGAATGGTTTCATTTTGGTTTTGGAAGTTTTAATCTGATTAGAAAGTATTGTCATTTGACTTGATGACGCCAGTGATATCGTTCCAGACATCAGGAGTGTTGTTTCGATCCATGAATATCATCTCCTAAGCATCAGACTGAATCTTACAATTGCTATCAATCACCTCAAGATATTCTTTGTCAGCATCGGCTCTAACTATATCTATAATCTCATGAAAAGGAGTTGAGGGATGCTTTGCTTAATATTTTTGCTAATGCTCTTCGAGAATGTGATCATAACTAATCCTCTTAAAAATAATGTTTGGCTTGCTTTGCTACTATTAGCTATGATTGATTTTGGTGAAGGCTTGCTACAAGGTATAAGCAAGTGTTGTTTTTCCCATTCCAGGTAGCCCTACAGGGATCAAGAAGAGCTTGCGAATGTTTGCTGAGGAGACCACTGTTTACATAATTATTTTAGTTTTTAAATTATTAATGGCTTAAATAATGATTTTATTTCTCAAAGAGGGAATGTAATTAATTTGGTATGCATTAAAGATAAAATTAAGATTCTTGCTTATCTAATACATATTTGCAATTAATATATCACGGGGTTTTGGGGTTTTGGGGTTTTGGGG